AAAGCACAAAACATAGATATAAGTATATAACCAATAACATGTTTTATATGGTTTTATTTGAATTTTTGAAAAAAAAAATCATAAAAAATGAGTGTTTAGTATCATTCATGCCATGTAAGCTTATTTTTAGAAATTGGCTTTGAATCTATTTAGTACTAATTTTCTAGGGCAAATTATTTTTGTATTAGAGTTATTATTCAAAGCCCTATAATCCTCAAAAAATCAAAATTAGTAAAAAATCAAAAAATCACTAAATAAAAGGGATTCCTGAAAATGACTGATTTCAATAATCGATTTTTGGTTGATTTCCCAAAAATTAGCATAATCGATTAATCAAAAAAAAAAAATACATTGATTCTTGTAATTCTAACATGAATCCTACATGACGCCAATTTCTGAGAAAGCATCATCGATGTCACTTAATTTGTGTTTGAAACTAGCTGGTTTTATTTTGCTTTTGGATCTGCCAATAAGAAATTAAAAAAGAATCGCATTAGAAAGAAAGGCCCCTCTTAATTTGATGGAGCAAGTGGGAAGGCCTAACTGGGGCATCGATATCTCCTGTATAATGCCATGATCAAAACAGATCAACAGACGAACCGTGAAAAGATTAATACCAAGGTTTTTAAAATCGAATCAGACAACGAACTGGCTAGGGGTCTAGTTTTCAGGTCAAATGATCCGATTGTTCGAACCAAATATATGACCTGTTCTGATAAAAAAATAAAAAATGCCAAAATTGTTGAACAGTTTGATCGTCTGGGTCAACGGTTTGTTGACCAAATCAATAGTTTTGACGAAATAACGGTTCTAGGGTAAAATGGAATCGGACCAGTTTTTTGTTTTTCTGGTCCGACCATCCAGTCTGATCCGGTTTTAAAAACCATGATTAATACTTTTGGTGGGTCGGGGCAAAGCTAGACTGGGCTCCCTTGGATGCCGTTATACCTGTTCATGGGCCAAGTAGGCTCGGGCCGGGCTTTCACTTGTCATTAAGGGAAATATGCTAGGCCCGAAGCCCGAGCCCGAGCCCGGCCCTGATAAAAAGCCCGAAGCCCGACCTAATAAAAAAAAAAAAACAATTTCCCTATTCAAATTAGAATTAAAAATTCAAATAGTTTTTTTACCTATTTAAATGAACAGTGAGCCTACAAGATGGTTTTTTCCCCTTTCTTTTATATTTTAAAACACAGTTTTACATTATTAAATCAAAAAAATTATTCAAATGGATATAATCACATTACTCACTTTAAGTCTAATATTAGGTCGGGCCAGGCTTTTTGGCTCGAATTTAAGCCCGCGAGCCTATAACCACGTTCAAGCCCATCCGGGGGCCGGGCCGGGCCGGGCCACCCGGCCCATGAATAGGTCTGGATGCGGTGTCCACCTATCCTCAACTGGCTTTCTCCATAATCACATCTCTCCTGCTTCTCCAATTATGCCCCGTTTGGAAAGAGTGCAATACACGGTTCGGTACATTTATGCACCCCGGTTCAACTTTTCCTATGTTTGGTAAGAAGACAAAAATGACCCGACAATCGAAGGAAATCTGCATTATTATTGTCAAAGTTTCCCTCGATTATGCAAACAAAATTTATTTTGAAAAAAAAATTGAAGTAAATTTTGCTTTCTCATTCTATCGAGAGAAATARATTGCTTTTGGAAACGATACAAATAAGTGTGAATGCAAATCTATAGAGTGTAAAAAGGTTCATATAAATTGCAAAATTGAATAAGTTTTGCATTAACAAATTTACTATCTTACCAAACAGATTTTTAGCTATAATGAATGCAAACATGAATTTCAATAAAGCATATGCTTTTTTTTTCTATCAAAAGCCAACTTGAATGCAAACACAGACAAAAGTAAACCAGAGTACAAATTAATTTAACTTAAACTGGGATTTACACTCCATTTGCATCGTTTCCAAACGCAGCCCCTATATTGACATATTTGTACTACTATCTACTCTTGATTATTCCACATCCACATCACAACGTAACAAAAATCTCCCCCTACATATGTGTATACGATTTGGGATTTCCCTTTCATGTGCATGCACCCCAATTCCCAACTGTGAACTGTCAACATTGTCCAAAAATAATAGTAAAGCGGGGCATCATCAACTAGGTAGAGAAGATACTCCAGTCCAGACATATAGAGTGCTCACATGGAGTTCTTAAAACAGGATGAAAGCACATGATCAGTAGACTCTTGGCTCTTTCCTCTTCTTTTATCATTTAATAGTTTCTCCCCTTTTGTCCTTTCCTAATTAATTTGAGGTTCCTGCCTGTGTTCTATTTCTATAGCATAGCTAGATACAAGGATTTTTCTTATTCGCTCACATGATCAGAACGTCAGTTTCAGGTCCTTAGGATTCACCCTCGACCCTACCCGACTCATATCCAAAAGCTGGGAATTGGCAATGGGCATCATTCATTTCAATTGGGGATGGAGCTGTCAGATGATCCAAAATAGTGTGGAATCAGAATTTACACTCTTTTCATTCACACTTGCATGCATTTGTATTGGTGCAAAGTTGCAAACAAACAAATGGACTAGCCTTGTGTTTATCCATCTTTATCAACCTTATTGTAGAAAAAGGTTGGGATATATGTCTATGGCTGCCGATTCCATACATTGTATTGTCCCATCCAAGGGTTTGGATTTTTAAGACCCACCTCGTAGTATGGGGTGCCATTTTATATAGAAAATTTCTGCCCAGATCAAATCAAACAAAGTATCACGGATTCATCACAAGATTAACCCAAATGATTTATAACTAAAAAGAAAAATAAATTAAAAAAAAAATCGTTTTATAATTGGTTGTTTGGCTGTAATTTATGTTGACAAATAGATCTGAATGGTTGTAAAATGTGGGATCTATGTTATTATGATATTATCCTAGGGTTTTATATATATAAAAGAAGGAATTCTATAACTACTACACCCATTTTATGAAAATGAAACCTTTTGTTTCCATGGAAATTGGTTGTGTTTTCTCCCATGTTAGGTGCAAATTTTCAATTCCAACGTTCTATGTTTTGATTGCCTTCTCAAGTTTCTATGGACCATTATATCTAGGGTTTATAAGTCCTAAGTTAATTCCCCAAATCAATGTATTTGACTTTGAACCCAAGCGTCTGAGAGCCAATCCGAATAGGGCAGCTCAAAAAGTAATGTTGAGACTGCAAACTTCGCTTGAATATGAATCCCACTCAAACTCTCAAAGTAAGATGAGTTACTTAAAGGTAAAATCCAAATCCCCAGATTAACTAGCGTACGTCCAAGGAAGAGACAGTGTTTCTCGTTGCCATTACGCGACATGTATACTATCATCCCTGCTGCGATTGCCCGACAACAGGAGGGAGAATCTCTTAATCACATGTTAGTCGCTAAAGGTTAAACACTTGCATATAATAATGTATACAAAAATGTTGGTTGCCTTGCTAATCGGAATACCGGATCAGCTAGAGATGATACAATAATTCCTTGACCCACCCAGTTGCCGTTGCCCCAGCGATGCACTAGTCGTAAAAATTGCATGCAATACATGGGATTAAATTAAATAGAAGTTTATTGGTAAATTTGGGTTGCTAATTTTATACTGATGCATCTTCTCTGAATAATAGCATGTGAAACAGGCTATGTCACGATCAATTAAAATGAACTAACGTGTTCACTCTTGATAGGTCACATTGCCCATTTTACACACTTTTGTTCACAGCAAATCTCCATTCATCTAGTTTATATCCTCACTTTATTAAAAATAGTCAAAATCAGGGATCTAATGAGAAAAGGAGATAATTATGTCACAACTATTGACCATTGAGGGAGATTTTTAATTTTCAATTAAGAATGATTTTATTAGAAAGAGTAATGATATGTATTCTTTTAGAGAAAATTAAAACTTAAGATTTTTTTTTTTATTTTTGAATAATTTAATCTAAAAATAAACAACAATATGTGTGAAAAATGAGAGGAGGGTAACGAAAAACCTGTGAGCATTGAAGTGGGAACATTCTTGATCTCCTTCCTCTTTTAGGTTTGTAGCACCCAGATTTAACCACAACTAGAAGAGACCCATGCAATTCACGTGCTGAAGTTAGAAAGGTGACTATGTTACATTTAATTTCTTAATTGTTTTGGTTGTGGGTGAGCTTAAATACCTCCATATTTTAATTTTCTTTTATTTTAAATTTTCAAAGAAACAAAAAAAACTATAAAGTGTCTGATATGGGCAACTGCATTTTATTAGAATATAGTAGAGATAAATAAGCTGAACAAACTGGTGAGGTTATCTCTCAGGAATCAAAAAGTAAAAACCATGTTCACCGGCCGAATTGAATCACTTATAATCAACCCGAATTGGTCTGTCCGTCCGCTTTTGTGGTTTGACGGTCTGATAATTGGTCAAAATTAAGCTAGGACAAAAGTGGGGTGAATGTGAATTGCTCAGACTCTCTCTCTCCCCCTGTAAAGACCAGGAATCGGAGAAGAATGAATTACTACACTCCATCTTTATGGCTGGCTCACAAGGACAGAAAGAGAGAAAGAGAGGGACATTAAGGAGACAATATCCAGTGCCAGGTATTCATTGCACTTAAAATTATTAACATGTAATAATAGAATATAATATCACTTAAGACACATTCATATTCATCGACATCACTCATAGCTGTAAATTTTAAAATAATATCGCAAGTCGCAACCCTATTAATATTAAATAACACCTTTTTTTTTTCATATTTTATTGATTAATCCCAGTTTATAATGGCTATTATTGTAATTATGTTTAATTTGCTAATCCGCCCGATCCCTCCCTAGTCCGGAGACTATTACAACACTGATCTTCTCACCCTCACGTATTGGCGGGAAATTATCGCTAGTTTGCTACTGCACAAGAAATTTCTAAATCCAGACATTGCCCTTCATCTTTAAATCCAGTACAAACATTATACATTGAAACTGGAGCGTGGAATCAATCTGCACCATTCAATGGACGCGTATCTCCCTCGGATGTCGTAAACAATTCTTGATTAAAGTGAGTGGCGACATCAGAGGAGCGTCCTGGAATCATGAAACAAAGCGTGAAATTTAGGCCGTCTTCTGCGGCGCTCATCTCATCCGTTAACCGAAATAACGCAATTATAGATAGTATCATAGTAGATAGAGATGCAGAGAGAGAGAAAGCATTGCCGTTCCAACGGACACCGGCACGGCAACATCTGGTTGGCGGCAAACGAGGGACGAAGAAACATCGCTCAAAAATCTCCAGGTTACTATTTTATTAATTAAAAATAACAAAAAATCAGAGCAAAAATCGAAAATCTCCGTTTCCCCCCCCCCTTTTTTTTTCCCGAAAAACAAGATAGAGAAGCAAAAAAGAAACAAGGAAATAAAGAACGAAAATTCTTTGAAGCCTGCTGCCTGCATCACCATCGTCCCTCCCTTCTCGTGTCTCTGTTTCTCTCGATTCTTCGGCGGTGGTGTTTGCAGGCCAAAGGTACTCAGTCTTCTGTTTTCTTTAATCTCGTGCAAAATTCATTTACGTTGATGTTTATTTCTTGCTGATGAAGCAGTCCTTCGTAGAGAAGGGCAACGAGAAGGAGAAGAATCGAGAAGAAGAGAATGCAGCACAATATAATCACTACGATTCGTGCTTTGAAACTTGCAGATGTTTGCAAGGGCGCCCAAGTTTATGCCCTAAATCCGCCTATGACTACAGCTAGTGGATGTGGAGGTGGAGGTGGAGGTGGCGGTGGCGGTGGGGGAGATAAGCTTCAAAATCATGACCGTTTCAGAGCCAACCCAATTCGGTCTAAATCGGTTAAAACCAACACAGTAAATGAAATTCTCATGCCTTACGGCCTCCCTGTCTCTGATTCTCTTGAACCCGCCATCGATCCTTACCTAAAACCCGTTGATTTCGTCGAAACCCTAGCTGATATCTACCGGCGCCTCGAGGCCTCTTCTCCGCCAGAAAAATCGGCTCTCTATCTCGAGCAGTCCTCGCTTTTTCGAGGTCTCGCCGATCCGAAGCTTCTCCGCCGGAGCCTCCGCTCTGCCCGTCAACATGCCGCTGACGTCCATTCCAAGGTTGTGCTATCTGCATGGCTACGGTTTGAGAGGAGGGAGGATGAGCTTGAAGGATCCTCGTCGCTGGACTGTGGCGGACGCAATCTTGAATGTCCCAAGGCCGCTCTAGTACCTGGGTACGATCCGTACTCGATCTACCACCCTTGTCCGTGTCTCCGCTCCCGTCCGGAGGCGGCTGGTTTGGGGATTTCAACTGGAGAAGAGGAGTGTTCCACCTCTAATGAGGATGGGGATATTTCATTCTTCATTGACGACGAGGAGGTCAGATGTGTTCGGTATAACATTGCCACTCTCTCGAGGTCCTTGAATGCTATGCTATATGGTGGCTTTACAGAGTCACGGAGGGAGAGAATAAATTTTTCCCATAATGGGGTATCGGTGAGAGGGATGAAAGCGGTTGAGGTTTTTAGCAGGACAAGGAAACTAGACTCTTTTCCTCCGGATGTCATATTGGAGCTCCTGTCTTTCGCAGACAAGTTCTGTTGTGAGGAGATGAAGTCTTTATGTGATGCTCATCTAGCATCTCTGGTTTGTAATCTCGATGATGCATTGCTATTTATTGAATATGGGTTGGAGGAGAGTGCTCATCTTCTGGTGGCAGCTTGTCTTCAAGTTTTCCTGAGAGAGCTGCCGAGATCTTTAATCAACCCGAATGTGCTGAGATTTTTATGTAGTCCTGAGTGTAAAGAGAGATTGACCATGGTAGGCCACAATTCCTTCGTGCTATATTACTTCTTGAGCCAGGTGGCAATGGAGGAAGATATGAAATCAAACACCACGGTTATGCTGTTGGAGAGGTTGGGAGATTGTGCGACGGAGGGGTGGCAGAAACAGCTTGCCTTCCACCAGTTGGGTTGTGTGATGCTTGAGAGAAAAGAGTACAAAGATGCTCAGAATTGCTTCGAGGCAGCAGCCATGGCGGGACATGTATATTCGCTCGCTGGCGCTGCAAGGACCAAGTATAAACGTGGACACAAGTACTCGGCGTACAAGCAGATGAACTCCCTTATCTCTGAGCATACACCAGTTGGGTGGATGTACCAAGAGCGATCCCTGTATTGTATTGGGAAAGAGAAGACGATGGATTTAAACACAGCGACCGAGTTGGATCCCACTCTTTCGTATCCGTACAAGTACAGGGCTGTTGTAATGTCAGAGGAGAAGAAGATTGGAGCAGCCATCTCAGAGCTCAATAAGATTATCGGGTTCAAGGTCTCTGCGGACTGCCTTGAACTGCGTGCTTGGTTCTCCATTGCCGTCGAGGATTATGCAGGAGCTCTGAGAGATGTCAGGGCACTGTTGACTTTGGATCCAAATTATATGATTTACCATGGCAAGATGAATGGAGGTCGCTTGATTGAGCTCCTCCGCCAGCGTGTTCACCAGTGGAGTCAGGCTGATTGCTGGATGCAACTTTACGATCGATGGTCATCTGTTGACGATATTGGCTCTCTGGCTGTTGTGCATCAAATGCTGGAAAATGACCCGGGGAAGAGCCTCCTACGATTTCGACAATCTCTTCTCCTTCTTCGGTAAGTTTGATTATTTTGTACAAAGTTATGTTAATTGTCTAATTATTTGTTCAACGGTCATCTCTCCATATTTCTTCAGAATCATCATGAACATTCTCATAAGCTCATACCTTTCTGGAGAAATCTTTGTAGTAGAGATCATGGCATCCCAAGCTCATACCTTGCGTAAATACCATATGGAAGCATTAATTGTTCATCGCAAGGGCAATGAACATTTCTTTTCCATTACCAGTTGATCTCCCACCTTGAATTTTCAAGCTAGCATAGAGGCACAATTCAAAAGAGCATCTTAGTGTCCAAATGAATTCATTTAGGCTCAGCTTAGGAAGAGTACAAATACAATTATGTAAGTGCAAATACAAGGTTTAGAAATATCATTTACAAAGTTTTGCATTGAACATATTTGTATTTGCACTCTTCCCAAACTGAGCCTTATGTTTTCTTTTCTTTTACTTATAAATTGGTGCAATTGACTCATTGTGCTATCTCCAGGCTGAAGCTTTAAAGTGGAAACCAACCAATATGTTAGCTTCTAAAGTGAGGCCCAATAATAACCAATAATCATGTTAGATAAATAGAACATTCTTTTATCATCAAATTCAATAAAGTATCTCATTTCATTATTTTACAAATCTTTGTACAGACAAATAGAAATACTTTACAATTTCCATTTGTAAATATATATCTATTGAACTCCTAAAAGGAGGAAAAAGGGCAGCCCAGTGCACGAGACTCCTGCGAAAAGGAGGGAAAACATAAAGATAAAAAATAAAGAAAGAGAGTAGGTCACTAAACAGGTATAATTCAACTTAGTTACCATGTTAATCTGTTAATGGCAACAATAATGTTACCCTGCCCTACAATAAGTCTTCATGTCAACACAAGTCCTTTTGAGTGAATAGCAATTGATCTGGTCAAGGTTTCACATTTACTTATACAATCGAATCATCACCATCATCATCCATACCTTATCCCAACTATATAGGGTCGGCTACATGAATCCTGATTTGCCAATCCGTTCTATTTAAAGCCATATCCACTGTTAAACTATTAGTGTTTAAATCATTGCTTATTACTTCTACCCGTGTCCTTTTTGGTTTACCCCGAGTTCTTCTAGCCCCTTCAATGTGTAACAAATCACTTCTTCTAACTGGCATAGTTGGTGGTCTTCTATTCTATGCACATGCCCAAACCATCTTAGTCTACTCTCTCATTTTATCACCTATTGGAACTATTCCTAGGTTCCTACAGATAACTTCATTCCTAATACTATCCTTTCTAGTTTTTCTACTCGTCCATTTTGCATAATTTCTAACTTTATTTTTTTAATTCATATTGATTGTTTGGGATGTATCAAATGCATTCTTCTTGTAGCTTCTAATTGTAGATCTTCATCGTTACATTCTCAACTCTCATTTTCATTTCCAATTACCAGTGGATCTTCATCTACATAAATATCTTTTCATATTGTGTGAACAGACATTTTGGCAAACTCCAATACTAATTAAGGAGTGATTTAGACAGATTGACACATTTCTAATCATTAATCAAAAAATACATGTAAAGGATAAACACTTTATTTGCTGTTCTTTATCATTATAAGAGGGAACTGCTTTGTCTTCTTACTAAAAATGTGCCTGGTTTATCAAAAATGGCATATACCCATGGAACACTTAAAACAGTAAGGCTTGCTAATTCTTGTTGGACATATTTGTTCTTCTTGGTCAGTGCGATGAAATTTATTTTGTTTCCTTTGGTTCCTTTTGCATTCAATTATTGAACCATGGATTAGATATTTTTTTATTTTTTTTGCCATATGGAACCATATTTGTCCTTTTTAAAAAGAATAGATAAAAGCACCAGAATTCATATTTGGGGGAAAACTGTTCATCTATTACAACATTATCTCTTTTGGTCATCATTTGCAAGTAAACAATCAGTGTTCTTAGTATAAAATTGTTAGAATTGTTGTTAGGTGTACTTGGTAATAGAAACTGTTATTCGAAGAGGATGTTATCCAGGTAGAAACTGATATTTCTGAATGTTTAGGTTAAATTGTCAAAAGGCTGCAATGCGCAGTTTGCGATTGGCTCGAAATCATTCCAACTCAGAACATGAGAAGCTTGTCTATGAAGGATGGATTTTATATGACACTGGCCATCGTGAGGAAGCATTAGCAAAAGCTGAGGAATCCATTTCTGTTCAGAGGTCATTTGAAGCTTTTTTCCTTAAAGCATATGTTTTAGCAGATACAAGCCTTGATCCTGAATCTTCATCTTATGTTATCCATCTTTTGGAAGAAGCCCTTAAATGCCCTTCCGATGGCCTTCGGAAAGGACAAGTATGTGTTATCTCTGTATTTTAAAAAAATTGATGAAACATCTTGTTATTTTAGTCATACCATAAATTAATTGTTTTGATTTGTCTGATTTTATGTATTGCAGGCATTAAATAATCTAGGCAGTGTGTATGTGGACTGTGATAAACTGGATCTTGCTGCTGACTGCTATGTCAGTGCTATTAATATCAGGCACACACGAGCACATCAGGGTCTGGCACGTGTTTATCATCTCAAGAATCAAAGGAAACCTGCTTATGATGAGATGACAAAGCTGATAGAGAAGGCTCGAAATAATGCGTCAGCTTATGAGAAACGCTCAGAGTATTGTGATCGTGACATGGCAAGGAATGATCTTAGTATGGCAACAGAATTAGATCCACTGAGAACGTATCCATATAGATACAGGGCTGCAGGTAAGCTCCACAACTTTTAATTTTCAGACTAGTTTATGAAATTTGATTCTTTGAGAGGTAAACTAATAATGATCAAAATTTTATGCTACATCATTCACCTATGCCTTTCCCATTGGACATATTCATTAACATTTCCTTGTAGAATCCAGCAGTTTCTACTGTTATAAAACCATTATGCAGGATGAAGTCATTAAATGAATCCTTTTAACTACTTGATGATTTTCTGCTCATATTTCGTATGCAAAAATTTCAGGTATCAATTAAAGTCCATTCTGAGTTCCCTTCTCTGGGAGCTAGAGTGACGCAACACTCAGATACCCAGAGTTGTTAATCTAGTAGCCCATCTTTGAGGAATCTAGGATCTCCAAGCTTACATGATGCTAGGTTACTCTGTATCCTCCATGTCAAATTTCTCTCTCTAGTAAAATTCCTTCTTGCAGTTATAGTTTATTTTCTTGTTAGTTCAAGTGGGGTTCAGAAAAAAAAGTTTTATTACAACTGTCAACCTTCCATCCATGCTCGGTGTAAGCATTGTAGCATAAAAGATCAAAACTGCCAAGTTACTCTTGCTTATATACCTGTAGATTCTGTTCCTATGCAGTCCTTGATCCATATCAAAATCCTTACCAGGGTCCAATTCTAAGTAAACCAAATATTGTTGAGGATTTAGATTGGTGCTAATTCCTTAATTTGATCGTAAATTCCTTTTTTTCTCTTCTTTAAATCGTCCTTGCTCCTATCATCAAGATCTTATTGTCACTTTTGTAATCTTTTTACCTTCTAAAAAAAACATCAAGAACTTATTGTTTTTTTTTAAGGATAAAGTTTAAAAAAAAAATTATTAAAGAGAAAAGAAAAGAAAAGAAATGCATCAGAAAGGTGATAAGGCATCACCAGGAAACTACCTAATTTAGCTCTTCTATTGTGTTTTCTCAATTCCCATATCAATTCATAAGCCTATTGTTTTCCACGTGTTTGTAGTTCTAAGCTTTTATGAGCTATATTTCATGCCTTCCAATGTTTTTGCTAAATTGAGAGGGGATCTATTTGGGATTGGGCCAAACAAGAAGATGAAATCAAAGAAAGTCTTTTAGAAGAGAGAGCTTCCTTTAATTAGGTTCTGGTCTTCCTGTAAGTTCAGTTTTTTCGGGTTTGGTTTTTTCTTTCGAGTTTGGCAAGGTTGGTGGTTTTTTTCACAATTGGAGCACATGTTTGTGGAACAAGGCTAATACATGGCTCCATAGACAAGAAATTTCACTTATCTGATTATTCTAATCCATTTTCCTGTCATGCTATGGGGCTGTCAGATGTAAATAAGTTTAGCTGTTTCAAATTAGGATACTCCAATTGTTGTTATCATTTCAAGGGCTTGTTTATTGTTTTGATGCCTACATTGTTTGTTCAACTAAGGAACTTAGAATTTTTCACATTAGCCATGTTCTCCAGTTTGAACAGTTTAAGATGATTAGTTGTTAACCATTAGGTAAAAGCAATTATCAAAAAAAAGGACAATTAAAAGCTGTTATCTGCTACGTTATAAGGAGATGAAAGCTCCTTTTTCCCTTAGCCCTTGTTAACTCCTTTTTCGAACTGGAGTACTTTGTAACTTAACTTTAATGAAATTCATAAAATACCTATTACACCCTCCAAACACAGTCTAAATTTAACTCTCTACACTGTTAGCCCCTCATAGTTTATCTTAAAACACCTGGACTACACTTAAAACGACCAGAGTATCCATTTTTACCTTTTGAGAACCTGATTTTACTCAGAATTTATCAACTGTCAGTCCATCTTTTATCCATAAGGTTCAAAACCTCCTTACCAATAAGGAGATTATTTATGGATAAGCAATGCCAAATGCAGATTGCAGCCTTGGAGTATTTATAAAAAAAATATGTCAAAAAATTTAGAAGAATTTATAAATTATGAGTTGATTGAGTGAGAATTAGGTAAAAACCATTAGCTAAGTTGATTGAGATGTTACTAAAACGTTTGTGATAGAAATAGGTAATGTGATATGTTCCCATTTTCGGTACATTGAATGCATTTGAAGACAACTAGTGGCTGGACTGAGACAAGATTGAGTGCAGTAGTAACTGATAGTTTAATTTTTTTATGAATATAACTGACAGATTTAATTGATTTACGGGAGGAATCATACACCCTGTGGAGAGGTTAGCCCCGGCTAACACCCACCAGAAACCATAAAAGAAAAACAGAAATAGTACATGTTTGACCCCAGTAGGCCAGTACAGAAACAGAGATAGTAATAACTTCACTTGACCCTGAAACATGCCTTCCCTTGTGGCCCCTTGTTTTGCCAAGTCATCTGCCAACCCATTTGCAGATCTTGGTATCCAGGATATATTTGCTCTCAATTCAGATATGATAATTCTAATATCTTGTACAGCATATTTATTACTTCCATGGAAGTGATGGAACCTCCTAACTTCCATTTATCCAACCAATTACCACTTTAGAATCCCCTTCAACGGTCAGCCTGCTGATGTTCGTGGTTTTTGCCTGTCTGACCCCATAAAGGATGGACCGCATTTCTGCCTTGAGAGTAGTGTTTTAAGACTTGTACCAGACACAAAACCAAAATGCTTACTGGGTCATGGGGCAAACAGTTTGACTGTAAGTCACATAAAAAACAAGTATTTTGAAAATAAAAATACTTGTTGTGGTATACCTCCCAACAAAAAGCCCTGATTTTGGGAGGAATAGGACTTTTTCATATGGCTTCAGGGGAAATTCAGATTTTGGTTTGGATCACTAGAGAGGGCTTTGAGGAATGAAGCACAAGAGAAAGATCCCAAAGAGTTTAGGGTCCAAATTCTAGTATCAGGTAAATGAGGATCAATAGGAACAGACTCAAGTAGTTCAAGCAAGGGCATAGTCTCTGCGACCCTATTGCACATTCAAATACCACAAATCTTTCTTGTTAAATTATAAGATATGATAGGGACAGAGATTCTGACTAGAGTGGATTTTTCTCCATTTTGTAGCTCAGATGTTGAAAACCTTTAACTTGGACAAGATATCCTGACATAGTAAGTAGAAGCTTAGATAGGGTTACTACATTAGAAAAAGTGGAACTCTCACCTACTATTGGTGAGCATGTGCAACTGAAATATGCCCTGCCCCAACTATTTGGGATTTGGCTTCATAAATAATAAATCCTTTCCCACCACTCCATTCTATCTAAGGCTTATATCCCCTGTTAGACTTGTGTTAAGACTAGCTTAATGCTACAGTCAATACTCAATTATTGGCTTCCCATTCCTCTGTTTGATCCTTCAATTTGCACTGATTTACTCACCTGTTTGGCTCCTCTTGAGTTCCCACAAATTCGCTCATAACTAGTTTTATTATCTTTAGACATAAATGGAGCTAAGGAATCTCTTTGCTCTAGGGTTACTGGACCTTCATAACTTGACATGGAATGGATATTTGAATGATTGGGGTCCACTCATTGTCAGTGGGTCCTACATAAAAGATTGGCACCCAGAAAGTTGTCCTGATGTGTATCACCCTTCACTTCACCATTGATAGACTGACCTGTTGTTCTAAATAAGGTAAAAGGCATAAATCTATAAAAAAGATTTAAAAGGCATAAAGTTGCAGAGTTGCAGAGATTTTGTTCATTGGTGATATTAGGTGGTTTTATGTTTCATATAGAGGGTAGTTAATTATAAAGCTTTTTTTTGGTCTGTTGGGCTCTTTTGTATCTTACACACTCTATATTATTAATAGATCTTTTGGTTACTTGTTAATAATGGGGAAAAAAACTCTTGGCAGTTGGCACAATGGGTCCTGCTCTTTGGCGGGGCATCACGTGGACAAAAATCTGTTGACTATGTTGGCCCTTTCTGTGCTTTTACAACTTCTATAAAAATTAATTAAATACATTAGGGTAGCATTTTTGAAACCGATCCTTGGTACAGCTAATCTCTTCATTGATTAGTTGGTAATCCACCATGTTGCAATTCATCAGGTTGCCTTGCAGACCCTTAATATTGGAGTTAACCTTCCCGTTTTTGTAGGTTTGTTCTTGGTCTATTGACTAGAACTCTCGTTTTCTACTATCTTGTTATTATGAAGTTAATCTTGGTTTTCATTTAAAAAATTGTTTATTGTCCATTAGTTGTAATCCTCGATATCTGCCATCCTGTTGCATATATTTTTCTTTCCTCGTGGTTGATTCCGAGAATGAGAGTAATATTCTGATGTGCTTCCTAATCCTACCAGTTCTGATGGATGACCACAAAGAAATTGAAGCAATATTAGAGCTTACAAAGGCCATACTTTTCAAACCGGACCTGCAGTTGCTCCATCTTCGGGCAGCATTCCATGATTCAATGGGTGACATCACTTCCACTCTCCGGGATTGCGAAGCAGCTCTTTGCCTTGACCCCAACCACATCGACACTCTTGAATTGTATAAAAAGGCACGAGTTGCTGGTAAACAGCAGAAGAAATGAGAGACCCATATTTATGCTGCTCAACAAAATCTCTATGGGCATCCAATTACTGCCAATTTTTCGCCTACCATCAAATCCAAAACTCATCTTCTTACACATTTTTTTCCGGTTTTTTTCCGGACTTGGTTTCTGAAAGCAGTTGAGTGCTGATATTGGTCACAGCCATGAGAAGAGGATAAAGAGTGAGGAGCTAATGAGGAGGGGCATGGTAGTATGTATATACTTACACCTTCGTTATGAAATTGATATGATCTTACTGCAGAATATTGCTGCTGCCCACCAGACTACTGTGGTATAGACGGTGCTGTAAACAGGAAAAAAAAAAGATTGATTGTTTACATGATGAAAATGAACAACTCGTGTTGTTGATGCCCAGTTGAATTGTTAGCCTACTGTGACACAAACCAAGACCACCAAAAGGTAGTTTGCAATAACCATCAAAGACAACAATTGCATTTCTTTTCCCTTTTTTCCAGTCCTGTGCTATAATTGTTGTTGTTGGCAAATGGTAAGAAACAGCTAATAGTAGGAAGCGTGGACATCTCAAGACCCTGACCCCATAACTTGCTGCCTATCATGTTTTAAGAATGGACCCCCTAAATAATGGTTATGCCAAAAGAAATAGCCTAATCAGATTATTCTTAACCATCTAACTTGTAATTTTTCTGTGCATAATTTTTTTGGCACAGATGATACAATCGATTTTCCTGATGGTACGAAAAACAAAAAGAAAAAGGGATGCATATACATTGCCAACCAGGGGGCCCAGCCAAGATAACATTAGCAAATTACACATTGTTACAGTACCCAAAGGCCAAAACCGCAGCAAAGCATGCAACTTTGCAGAAACACCGCGCATGCTGCTAGCCAAACGACATGATGGTACTAAACCCAAAAATAAATAAATAAATATAGTAAGCTTGGAAATAGATCTACTGTGACACACTCGATATGCATGGATATTGTTGAAAAATCAAGTAATATAAAAAATATATTAGACTCGTGAGAATGTAAAAGATCTAAGACATACATATGCAGCTATTATATTAACAAAAAAAAATAAGGCCCCATTTGGCACGTCTTTTCCTGCAGTCTTTCGGCTATTTACAAGTCAAGTAGACCGCGCCGTGGTCTTTTTTTGTTAGGTTCGTAACAGATTTAACTATTAAAAGTCAGTGTGTCGAAAAGATGCAAGAAGCCCATTTTGGACTGATTTTGGGAAACTCCAAATGGAGCTTTTTGTGTTTTTCTCACACGAAAAAAAAACATGAAAAGATAAACGGAAAGACGCATAGTAGCCAAACTAGCTTCGGGCTGTTCAGATCATGCAAAAGCTCAATGCATCTTTTGACTGTTAGAGCTACCATAAGATTTTCCCAAAAAGACTTGTCAAATGGCCCCCAAGTTTATTTTAAATTGGGAAAATTCTTGATTAGTACCATGTACTTTGGGTCTAGTGCCACTTTGGTCCCCAAACTTTAAAATGCAACAATTCAGTACATGAACTTTCGAAACATGACAATCCAGTACATGATGTTAATTAGTTGTTAACCATCCGTTAAGTGGCATTTGAAAGAGACACAAATGCCCTTTGAATGTCATCTAATTTTCTTTATCAACCATCCAAACATTGACAAAAAATTAACAGGCTCAAATCCTTGCCTCTTCTATTCAAGAAAGTTGGGGTCACGAGAATGCCCACTAAGATGTGACTCCAACTTTCTCTAATAGAAAAGGCAAGGATTTGAGACCGTTAATTTTTTGTCAATGTTTGGATGGTTGATAAAGAAAATTAGATGACACTCAAAGGGCATTTGTGTTTTTTTCAAATGCCACTTAACGGTTAGTTAACGCTAGGTACTGAATTGTCATGTTTTAAAAATTTGAGTATTGAATTGTCATATTTTAAAGTTCGGGGACCAAAGTGGCACTAGACCCAAAATACAAGATACTAATCGAGATTTTTCGCTTTTAAATTCATTGTTATTTACTGTAAATTAAAGTATTAATTAATAATTTATAGAAATGAACAATCTTAGTTTAAAAAATATCAAAATCACTAGAATTTCAAAGATAGTTATTTTATGCAAATTATTAAATACTAAGGTTATTATTCTGTTTTTAGTATTTTTATTTCTAAGTTACAAATCATTTTTCTATATAACTATGGATTAATGACTTCGGTAGATCATTCAATTAGTTAATATTTATAAAATACTGATTTTAATGGTCATTTTTTAGATTTTTTGTTCAAAAAGTCATATATAACATTATTTATTTAAATTCATATACAACGTTATCCGGCATCACCCTATATGGTACGAGGCATGATTTCTACAAAAACTTATAACCAATCAACGGTTGGGGTCTGATTTGTAGATATAGGCATACAGCACATAACGCACAGAGCCTCAGGCAAAGATGTTGCCCGGTAACAGTCACTTTGAAGTTTGAAGCAAGCCATGTGTGACCCATTACTCTGTGGTGACCACCAAGTAGTGGTGGCAAATGAATGGGTTTGGGTTGGGTGAGGGTTCAGTATCAGCCCACTCATATTGGCCTGCTGACCCATTTGCCACCGGGTGGTAAAGTGGGTCACAACCCACCCATACGACCCACTAAATCAATGCAAATATTATAAAAATATAAATATTTTAATCAAATAAAAACACAAATATTAAGAAAATTACTGAAAAATAGCAGTGCTAACAAAAAACACAATTGAAAAAAATAATAAAAACACATTGATATACGTTTGCAGAAAAAACAAATTAATAAAAATTGCAGAAAAACATAGAAAATGACAAATTCTTTTTAAAAAATATATATTTAAAAAAAAGTAGAAATTGCCTAAAATACATCAATTAACAAAAATTCAAAATAATTATATAATTCAACCCAGAAATTGTAGACATGGGTCGGGTCATCTCATGTGTCAGATTTGGGTCCCGGACAATCCATATACCCAAAAATACATTTTTAAGGGTGAACCCATAGACCCCAAAAGTCCATTTTAAGAGAAAAGTGTAAATAATCCAGAAAATGCAGAGTTTGCACAAAAGTTGCAAATTTTCAAAACGTTGTAATAACTGGACATAAAATTGTAGAAAATTTCAAAAACGTTGTAAAAACTGGTAGACAAAAGCAGAAATTTGTAATATATATTGCCAACGAACACCAGAAATCAATATCAATATAAATAACAAATTTTTAAAATCCAGAACCTATCAATAACTTACTCAAAGATCCAAGTTTCCTTATCAGTGTCTTGCAATGATCGGCTATCAGACCACCATTTTCACTTGTTTTATATTGCCTTTTAAAGCCAATATCATCATCCTTGTCTTCATATTCGTCTTTGTTAACGGATTCTTCTCCGTATAGGCGTATACAACCTAAATCTTTTGCTTCGGAGGGGCTCGGCATTTGAATGTTCTCTGAACATTGGAAATTAAGAAACGAAGACAAAGCGGAAGAAGAAATTATCATCGGAGGTGATTTCCTCTGCTCTCCACCTCTTGGGGTTTCCACTCCAATGCGTCAATGCTATATTCATGGACAACGTTGACAAAGCCAGCGACCTCCTTTAAATCTCATTATCTCAGAACTTGCCTCTGGTTCATCACCATTCACCAGAATGAGTCGCAGCATACTTTGCCGAAGATCTACAAGCTCGAATCATCAGCTCTGGTCTCAGTATCTACTCTCCTCTCAATATCAAAACCCAAACCTTATCTCGAATCATCAGCTCAAATCACCAATATTGTGGGTCATCGATCGAGCTTGAGGCCACCGGACAGCAACTCTCTAACTTCACTCTCTGGGTCTACCATTTGATTTATACGCATTGCTTCAATGCAACTGGCAAGGTGAAGTCAGGATTCAGGAACTATGGATAGAAATTAGAAATGAAGAAAAAAAATTCAAATAGATCATAGCAGCACCCCACACGGTGTGCCCCACATGCACATCTCAGCGTGCATTAGTAACATCTCCTGTACTTGTCTTTGGGAGATGCTTCCAATACATGATTGGACGTGCTGTGGGGCATCAATGTGAACTCATTTTCAAATCCCAAAGGATTCACCCTTGTGATCCAATGGGTACTCTCGACTCAACTCACCTTGACCCTTTTCCTTTGACCTTAATGGGTAAAATAGGTTGGGGTTAAAATTGCCAGCCCATTGCCAAGTGGATCCACTTGTGTCATGCCATAAGGGATTTGATAATCTGGTGAATGATTAGCTATTTTTATAACAAATTAACCATAAATATATAAAAGATGCAGCCATACAGGCTAGCAAAAACTATTTCCATTCAAAACTAGCAACGATTGTGGACATTAGACCCGTGACTCCTCCATCCATCCACTTTTCAAACAGGATACATGCCCTGTATCTTATGTATTTTGTATTATTGCATCTTTGTGTTCGCCTCCTAAAAAAACATCTGAAGAACTTCAAACTTTGTCTCAAGTAGAATTGCCATCAGGGTATTGAAAGCCCCAGTGATGATAGAGCAAAATGCTAGATGGTCTAAAAGTAGGGCAATCGGCAATTAGACAGCAGTCACCAAATTGAGAAAAAGATCTGTTTGCCTAGAATAAGAATCTGTATAGCAAACATAAGAAAGGCTGCTCTGCAAACATGAAACTTTAGAAGTACAGCTTCTACAATGGAGAGGAAAAGCTAAACTGCACTCCTGTCTTCCCATGGTCATGCTCTAGTTGTCTCAGTATGTAGCAGTAGTTTATCTGAAAACAAAATTAAGTACTGTCAGAATATTTCAGGAGTTTAATAAGAAGAAAAGAATAGTTCAAAACTTTATTCTTTCTTATTTTATTCCTTTTTTGGAAAATCGAAAAGAACACAAATTGTTTAGAATGGTTCAAGATATTGCGGGTCAGGTCCATCACAATAAGGGCCCAACCGCCGGAATCCATACTTCAAAAGCAGCAAGGTACTTTGGAGTGCATGAAGATGGCATGTTCATATCATCAGCTTTACTAAATTGAATAGAAAGATCTGAAGGCAAATACATACCTCCATGCGGAACAACTTGGTGGGGACAATAATGCCAACTCCTGCAGAGCTTCGGAAAGACTCTCCAAACTTACGAAATGAAAAAGTTCGGAACTCATTCTCTGTTAATTTAGTGAGATTTCCGGCACATGCAAATAGGTGTCCATGGATGCCAGCTTCTCTGAACACCCTCAATGGAAGATTGAAAGAAAGGTCTGCAAAGGCCGTAATGGCAAGGTCACCTCCTAGGGCGTCCCTTCTAGGGGAGGTAGCCGAACTCTCACTGTCAGACTTGTCAACAACTGACCTTCTTGGTTCAGTTGGACCAAGTCCCCTACACTTGAATCCCAACAATGTTGTTGGCCCTCCCAAGGTGCATATTGGAGAAGAATGACCACCTAAGAAAAATCTCTCAGGTAGAGGAGAAGGCATGTCAAGGAATCCACTTCCCCATGGAAAAATAACACCCGCAGAGATTCCAAAGTTAAGTGCTGCATTGTAAAAGCCCAATGGGAAAGCATAACGAAGGTCAACCTCCTGTTCAGAATATGCAAAGGAAGCAAGATTATTGAATAATATTTTGTTGAACAAAAAAGAAAAATATATGCCCAAGGGACATGGATCAAGCTCACAGAATAACAAAACAGACTAATTCATTATCAAAGAAAAAAAAAAGCTAATGAATTATGTCAAGTTACCCAAAAAACAGAATTACAAGAAGTAATAATATTATAGAACAAAATATATATTTTTAGTAACAACTTTAGCAGATGTCAACAGCCAGAATAGATCTGATAGAAGAAGCATGGAGAAAATGGGACCAAAGTTATGGAAAGCTCTCGCAACAGCAAGGTTGTCACCTCATGATACATTGGAACCAGGAAAATAATTGAGTTTTTAAGACTTCTAACCAATGCTGGAATTATAAATTATTCAGCATCCACAAAAAAAATACATTCATGCAATTTCTGCAATAATGTTGAAATATTGAAATTAATAGGTTTAAAATGCTTGGATAGGATGTATTACCAAAGTTCAATATGAAATTCGTTGTTATTTAATGAAGAAAATTGTTATTTTTCAATTCCTAGGCCTGTTGGCTTTCATTGCCTAGGCAACACCTAGGCAACCACTAGGTGCTCTGTTATCACCTAAAATTACCAATATGCCTTGACAACCTATGAGTTGTGGGTTCTTTGTTCATCTAAAACACTGTTTAATAGCAATTAGGTAAGAAACAGTCAAACCTAGTTAATGAATTGAAGAGATAAGAGATCTTGCATAAATTGTACTCCATCTTCAATTACAGTCTGCAATTGGTTTCTTGGGAAATCTTGTTCTTCTTTAACTTCATTTCTGAAAGATTGCCCCATGTGGACCTTACTGACTGGATGAATCATAGCTTTGTTAGCACAGATATGCTTGGATGTCTGAACTTTAGGTAATCTCCAGCAATGATCATCAACATGGGGAAAGACTTGGCTACCAGAGCTTTGAGCCAGAAATTAAACCAAGTATGCAAGTCTTTCAGTTGTTGTACCTGTAGTTGGACAAGGATAAGACTTAACAGTTGATCAAGTCATCCCTGTTCTAGCCACTCATTGGAAATGATGATTACAATGAATGCTTCAATATCTCTCAACAGCTGATCAATTCGTCCCTGTTATTACATACTGTCAAATCTATTTTCATAAATTGCACTTATGATAAATCATTTGGAAACAGCCTCTCTGTGTAACTGCAGGGATAAGGCAATTATAGATCTAAACAACTCACGAGCCTTGAATTATGTGCAAGTTCATGACCAAGGCAGACCCCAAAATCATCAAAGAATCTCATGATCAATTCCTCCCAGAGTAGGTGCTTTTTGCTGGGAAGCTATTCGAGAAAAGTGTAATACTTGTGACCTACTTCAAAAGAAAAGGCCTAATTGGTGTTTATCCCCGCACTGGTGCATTTTATGTAAGAAGAATGGTGAGAGCTGTTATCACTTATTAGTTTCTTGCCCCTTTATATCAGAAATCTGGTGTTGGCTTTTTCTCTTTTTGGTTGCAGGTGACCCTCCCCTTCAAGTGTGCAGAGTTTGTTTAACTCTACATGAGGGGTTTAAAAAAGAGAGGTAAAATCTTGTGGAGATGTGTTAGAGCAACTGCATGCTGGACAGTGTGGGAGGAAAGAAATCAAAGAACTTTTCATGAAAAAGAAAAAAACAAGGAAACCATCATTGAATTAATATATGTTAGGGTGGTTCACTAGGTCAAGTCTATGAAGCTCTTTGAAGGTTATTCAGCAGGAGATATCATTAGAAAATGGAAAGAAGTGGCTTGGTCTGCTCCCTTGATTACTTCCCCCAGTCCAGCTTGGACTCCTCCAGCTTTGGGGTTCACCAAATTGAACTTTGATGGCAGCAGTGAAGGAAACCCAGGTCCTTCAGGTATAGGTGGAGTGTTCAGGGATGAAGAAGGTCGAATTATTGCCATGTTTTCAGGACCTATAGGTTGGGGGGATTCACTGAGAGCTGAAATTTTGGCAGTTCTGGAAGGGATTAAAAGAGCCCAGCAGCTGAAAATCAGTAAACTGTTGGTGGACGGCAACTCTAGGCTGGCTGTTAACTCACTGCATAAGGAAGATTTTAGCCTGTGGAAGTTCTCAAATGAAAAAAATAAAAAATAAAAAAATAACCAGCTAACTCAAAACTTGCAAATTCAGGTTCAGTGGGCCAAGAGGAGTGCTAATTAGGGGTGGGAAGAGCAAATCTTTTTTGGCCATTGTTGTAATCTGATCTATAATGTTAGGGAGGGTTAAGAGTTTTTACCCCTCCCTTCCTATTGTATATTTCTATCATCTTTTTTCTCAATAAAAGTTGCTGTTATTGATCAAAAATAAATAAATAAAAAGAAGCTCATGATCAACCTATACGAAGAAATGCTCCTAGGGGATTGCATACACCAGAAATGTATGTGGATGAATTTAGTGATGAAGAGTTTGGTGAGTTTATCCTTAGAGGACAAGGTGGTGATAGACAAACTTGAACTCTAAGGATTACATAATCAAAGATTAATCTACTAATTTCTAATGGTATGGTCAGCTTTATATCGAGGATTTCCTTAACTAGCTAGTTGAAAAGTTTTTCAACTATATGGAGATTGCAGAACACAAAAAGGTGAAGTTTGTAGCTTTACAAACTGAAAGGTGGGATTTGACATGGTAAAATCAGTTATAGATCTTAAGAACTCACCTTGGTAAAGAACCCATTAGATTGTGGCAGATAATGAAGTAATTATTACAAGCTAAAATCTACCCCAAACTATAACCAGAAGCTATTCCAACAGTATCAGAATTGCAGACAAGGAAACTGGCATGCAAAGGAGTTTTATTGTCTATCAGCGCACAAAGAAATATATGCTACAAGATATCAATTTATTGTCCAACTACACTAACTATTTCTATGAAATATTTCCACAAATTCAAAGGTTTTTATTGGACAAGTTTGATATAAGGCTAGTCAGACAGCTACCCTGTAAGGTTTCTAAAAGTGAAATCACAATCTCATCCAAAACTCCAGGTAAAATGACTTACCATTGGAAAAGGGGCAAGTCATTTTACTCCATTATCAACTAAGTTTTGGATAATATTTTGCTTCCTTGTTTTTTTATTAATGAGTAAAAATAAATTTGCTTCCCTTAGTATTTTACTCCCAAAAAAATACTAAAATACTAATAATTTCCAACACTAACCATTTTGCAATACATTTTAACAATCCACTCCACCAAACTCATGTGTATCATTTTTTTCTGTTTCTGCATAGAAATTTCACCATCTCTAATAATTCTGGTAAAAAATGTAAACTCTTATATTTGGGGATTGGTTGGAAATTTGGAATGTCCAACAGCTGTACTGAAGTTCAACTTCAAATAGTGATTAATGAATATCCTTGGCTGCTCCCAAAAAAAAAAAAAAAGAACCATCTCTACTATCATCCTCTCTCTTTTTTAACTTATGCCTTATTTTATCGGGGGTGCTTTTTAATATCTGCTTTTATTTTCTTCTACCATGATCCAGCAAATGTCAAAGTTTTTATTAGATAACCACCCTTGTTGAAACAGTTCATTATTGTTTCTAATATAGAGTTTTCCATGACTTGCAGAAGGGTCCAAGCAATGTCTTAAAACACGGAGGCGTGATGCGAGGCATTCCACTACCTCCCGAACACAAAGAGGCATAAGCCTACTTAAGAGGAGGGAATGAGGAGGAAGGAGGGAGAAGAGGAAGGAGGATTTCATTTTTTCTTTATTTTTAATAAAAATCTTTTATATTAAGAAGAATGAAGATGCATATCACTAGTTAAAAGAGGGGGGATCTTGTTGAAGTGGAAGCAAGCGAGCCGGAGTGGAGCAAGACCCCCCCTCCCCCAAACACACAAAAAAAAGACAAATTGGGCTGCATCGAAAAGGGGGGCTGGGGGGTCTAGGTGGCGAAGCCCCCCAGCCGAAGGGGTCCAAGGGCTTAGTCCCTAACCCACTTTCTTCTCCTTATCTTTTCTTTCCTTCCCTTTCCTTTTCTTTCTTTTTCTTTCCCTTCCCTTTCTTTCCTTTCCTTTTTTTTCTTTTTTCTTTGTTTTTTTCTATCTTTTTACATGGGGTGTGCATAAGGTGCATGAGGCGTACGCCTCTAGCATGCCTCATGAAAAAAGCATATAAGGCGTACACCTCAGAGGTGTCAGCGCCTCTGGCAATACACCTCAGGGTGTTTTGGGGGTGCCTCACCTGGAGGCACGCCTCCAGGCGTATGCTTCCCATGCCTTTTAAAACAATGGGTCCAAGTACCTGGTTAACCATCCTAGCCATCCTAATTGATCATGTTTTCCAAATATTGTGTTGGGAAAGCAGCTTCTCTTGGGCCTTTTTCTTAAAAGTATAAAAAATAAAATAAAAAATTCATCCAAGCCTACAAGTCCAACAATTTACACCCACAAATTGGCTTTCCAGGTGAGCCATAGCCATAGGAAGGAATTCATGTTGCTAATTCAACTAGATGACACATGACAGATTGTGTCATTTGTTTTGTTCAGAAAAGGTAATTTTATCTACACCTATTCCTGGCACTATAATATATATTTCCTGCAATGGAGAAGACATAAATCATCATGGGGGGAGGCCCCCTCTGCTCCCCTCCCCCTGGCCAGAATGATTACCTCTTTAATGGAATTTTATAAATTCTAGCTTTTTCAAGAAGTAAAAGTTTGGTGGCCAATAAAGTGGCAACCAGCATTTTTGTTGTTGCCTTTTCATGATCATGCTAGGGCATTCTCCAGAAACGACATGCTGCACCTTAATCCGAGTGTAGTTTAAATGGGCAAGGATTTGCTAGGATGGTCCCCATAAGTGACCCGCTGTGATGTCCAATAAGCATGGGTTCCCACATAATTCTGGACGAGCGTGGGTAAAGAAGCTAACATTAAGGCTTTGTTTGGTTTGTAGGATGGGGATGAGAAAAATGGAATATTCCAAAAATATTCCCTTTTCTCATATTTGTTT